TTTGTCTTGTATATTGTGTGACTGGCATGGCCTATGCAATAGCCATTTACTTCCAGCCTGGTCCTGCACAGCTGGTATGAAATAACTTTATCAAATAACTCATGACATATCCACAAGATATTCCTACACAGCATTGCCAATAATAATTGCACTTGTGTCATTTCTTTCCCTTTTCCTATTACTTGTAGTGGGCAGTGCTGCTCCCTGTCGTTATGTCTCTCATTGCTAATCAGCCTAGAGATACTACACTAATGAAGATACTGGTACAACTGTGCTACCCAAAATGGGCTCTAGAGGCCTTTGTCATCGCAAATGCTGAGAGGTATTTTTTGGGTTTTAATTGTTGTGTCTTCCCCTTTCTTCTACTGGAGTAGTGAGGGGAAGCGTGAGCATCTGAAACGAATGCCGTTTTTTCAGGTACTCTGGAGTATGGTTGATAACTCGTTGCAGTTCACTAATGGCCAATGATTATAACGTCAACGATTGGAGTCTCTGTCTAATTGTGCTGGTTTTTTTCGGCATACTTGCCCGAGTTGTGGCCTTCTTTTGTCTTCTTCTCTCTCGAAAGAAGTGATTTTGGATATAGGACGCACTTCCACTATGATCTTACTGTACAAATCATAGGTTTTTTTGTTTATAGCCCAACCCTATCCATCCATTGTATAACTAATGTATGTAACTAGGGTCTAGGGACGCTGTCCATTTTTCCCACCTCAATAAATTATTTTATTGATGATACGTTAGAAGTTTAGGTCAAGTAAAATCACCAGTTTAGGATTTCCATTCAGTACTTTTTCATGTTAAAAGCACATGTATTGTAAATTTAACTCTTCCCTCTTCTTGCTAGTGAAATTAACAAAATTTAAATTGCACATACTTTGTACGAGTTTATTTAAAATTGTAGTGTGTATTTCCCTTTTATTTATAAATATATAATTTTCCTTTTTAGAAATCAAAATATGAGCTCCATTTAACCCGGCAGATCCAAATGCTCTCCTGCTGCCCAAAATTGTACGACAGCTTTTTTTCAATTATTTTTCAATGCATACATTTTCATTTAATTCAAAACAAAGACATACATTTTCACTATTCATTAACATAAACTTCAAGTTAAGAAAGCAGATTGTTGGCCAAAGAAAAAAAAAGTTAAGGGAGCAAGTCTGGTGTTAAAAAATAAGGGTAAAAATGCAAATTTGATCATGTACTATTTTTACAAGAGAATTTGATAGCTTAAACTATTATGTGGTGTAAAATAAATCATGAACTTTTAAAAATAAAACATTCAATAGCCTGCCATTAACTTTAATTGATAGACATTATATGAGATCCACAATGAGACGTGGCACTTCATTTCAGCATATGTAAACATGTAAATTTAGTTACAAACTATTTTTTAAGAAGCATTTGATAGCTTTTATTGTAAAAAAACAAACCATCCAACACCGTCCATTAATTTTAACCAAACATCATTTATTTTTTGACTTATAAAACTCATAACACGTCAATTCTCTAATATTCTTACCTTCATTCTCAATCTCGACTCAAGAATAAGAGGTTTAAAGAGTTCTTATCTAAAGACACTCACGAAGACGACCCCAACAAAATAGAAGAAATAATTTGTGGTTAAATTAAGGTAGAATCAAACTTCTCTCATGTGTAATAAAATCAAACTTCTTCTTCATTAGCATTATCTTTGTGAATGTTTTTAGATAAAAACCCATTAAGTATCTTCTTTTTGAGTTAACACTGAGAATGATGGCAAAAAAATTTGAGAGATTGATGCATTGTGAGCTTCATAAGTATAAACATAAACACCATTTGGTCAAAATTGTGGGAAAGGTATTGGATGATCCGTTTTTTTATAGTAGAGGCTATCTAATATAACATTCTGAATTTCTCAATCTCATGATTAGCTGTTAATTGAGGGTAAAGTGATTATTAGTATAGATTAGATATTTGGATTATTATTTGATGAATTAATTCATTGGGATGTTTTATGAATAGGTATGGGTGGAAGAAGTGTGTTTCATGTCAAAGCAAATGCAAGTGGTGAGAATAAATCTCACTATGCCACGTACCACGACGCATGAACGAAAAAATAACTTTTTGAATCGTGAAATTTTAGAAATTTCAGAAGAGTGAGATTTAGGAACACACAAAAGAAGGAGAGAAGAAGGCTGAGGAGCTAGGGCAAGCTATTTTAAGTTATTGGAAGGTACTTATGATCAATAACGTAGCAGGTAATGTATGTATAACTTTTACTTTCCATTCTACACAAATTTTTTTAAAAATGAGTTATAGAAAAATTGAATAGGTGGAATTTGAGGGGTTTGATTTTTGCCTAATAGTAATAAAAAGGTTCTCGAAAGTTAAATTAGAGCTTTGTGACTAATTTAAAGTCGAACAGTAGAGCTTTGAAACCCACAGGCTTAATTTGGCCCTTAAAGAGAGAGAGAGAGTTTGGGATAGAAATATAATTTAAGTGAAATAAGACCGGTTGAGGTGGTGTAAATTAGTAACTAAGTAAAAATAGACTTAGAATGGATAAATGAAAAAGAGGTTACGGTTCAATATAGCCCTAAGTAGTAAATATGTATTTTTGATCAAAATGGACTAAATGTGTTTAGATTAGCTTATTGGACATGTGAGTTGAGAAAGGAAGCTTGTGATAAGCTGTTGTGGTAGTTGAAATCCACGGGTAACTTTCTAGTGATAAAAGGGTAGAGGTAATCGAATAACTTTCATTGTTTAACCGTTTATTGTAATTGTGTATTAGTATGCTATGTAGTGCATAAAAATATTTGAGCTAAACATGTTTTTATAGCATTGTGTGAATATTGCATAAAATAATTTTGACAGAATAAAAGCATTAAAATGAGTAATTTCAAATGGTATGATAATATATATTTGTTATGTATGATGTAAAGTGATAATGACAAACCTTGAATGGTTTGGAAAGCATGATCATAGGAATTGGAGTTCACCCGAGTAGAGAGGTGGTGAAAAGACCATATGACATATTCTCCTTAATGTTTAGTACCTTTTAAGGTGTGATGTCAGAGATTTGAGACTCCTTAGTGTTTATGTGATATAATGTTGGAGTCAACAACACCTTATTGTGTGTATTGGGGGGAAACTATAATTCGAAGTGAGATAAAATGCCTTTAATTGGGTGATTCTACCACTAAAGATGAGCTCAAGGTTAATGAGAGTGTATATTGGTGAAGGTGAGTCTCTGATTTCGTGTTGGGATGATTTGGAGGTTCGACTGGTAGTGATCATGCTTTGAAATACTATGTGATACTTGTGTTAGTAAAGCAGTGAAAAAGGGTGTAAAGAGGTAAAATGTGAAACAATTCCAATATCAGGCTAATCGAGGGCTATTATTTTAGTATGTTTGTGTTGTAATTGTTGTTGATATTGGTAAATCTTAAACCCAAGTGAAAAGTTATGATTAAATGAGTAATTTGGGGTTAAAATTAAGTAATATATGTGCTATGAATATAAATGTATATGTTTATATTGAGAAAAATGCCAAGTGGGTTATGTTATGCTAAGTGATGGCAAATTATGCAAATTTACGAAATGTAAAAATTGACCTGTTAAGGGGTTAAATTTCAATATATATGTATAATTATGATACAATATTTTCAATTAGGTGTGTTAGGTCTTTTTAGACTTGATTCAAGACCTTGTATGATCAATGAGAGAAAGAAATCAATTTGAGTGCTTGGGTGCTCAAATCTTTTAGAAAATGTGACTTTTTGCACCCGAATATTTAAATTTTGATCAAACCATTAGATCGTATCCAAACCTATTTCATTAGTTAGCTTAAGCCAAGTTTTGTGTGGGCGATTACTCCAATCGAACGTTATATGTGAAAATGGTGCACAAAAAAATTTATTATTTTGTTGTCAAAATGACAACAGAAATTTCGAACAGGCTCGCCGCGGCGCATGGTGTCACATGTCGCAGTGCAAATATCATTGAATCAAAGGTTCCAAAAGACCTCTTTGATGGGGTGAGGAACAACCCAAGTACCGCCTTTAAAAAAAATGGCTTCCAATACAATGATGTGGGTTAGCCTAATCCAAGAGGACTACTACTTTTGATTTAATGGTACCAGATTTAGCTTCAATTTCTTTAAAGTGGTAAAGGCTAGAGGTTCGAGTCAGGAAAGACTCCAAAAGGTCTCTTTGGTGAAGCGAGAAATAACTCAAGTACCACCTTAAGGAAAGCTACCTTTCGCTGCAGTAATATGGGTTGGCCCAATTCAAAAGACTCCCTGTGGGGTGGGGTGAGGGTTGTTACACATACCATTAGATACCCTTAAAAAAATAGTTCATGACCAAATTCGCTATTTTACCCAAAAATAATATACTTCTTGAAGCCTGCAGTAAACTTTTGACTAATATCAAAGAATCAATTCCTTGGTAAAGCGTGCGAAAATTGATGTTTTACTAATAATAATTAATGCTCTATTCTCATTTTTGCCTATAAACTTCGTGCCGCATTTTAAACTTAATTATGAGGTAATCTTATTTTTTGGTATTAATAATTTCATCTTTTATTCATTCTAACGTTAAAAACGTTAACATTGTTTGGTATCAATAAATCCCATCATTTTTAAATATTTTTTGTCATTTTTTTTTGGATTAAAGGGCCTTTTTGTCTCTTAACTTTTACCTAAAGGTTAGTGAGCTCATTTCAAATTTTTTATAATAAAAAATTTAAAAAATGTGAGTTATTGTCAAGATAATAAAAAAAAATTTTTAATATTGAAAGACATAATTGATTTATAATTAAATTTAGGTGCTACATAATTTTTAAGATAAAGTGAGAGAAAAAAATAATTATTACATAAATAATTAAATTAAAATAATTTATAAAATTTAAATAAAAAAGATTTACACCAATTAAAAACTGGCGTGGTTTTTTCGGGAAAAAACACGTCGTTTTTGGAAGCACTTTGTCACTGTCGTTGGCGAACTAAAAAGGCCACAGTCCGTCGGCTCTCACCGCCACGCACGCAATTACATTTTAGTGAAATACAAAGAAAAGCCATGCAATATATAAGACCGGCGTTTCGAAACGCCTCTTTCACCTTCTCCTGCCTCTTAAACCCTAATCCCCATAATCCCTTGTTTTCTCTCACTCTCCGTTCGCTGCCCATCATCACCACCTCACCCTCACCGTCGCATTTGACCTCTCATTTCACACTTGAAACTTTTCCACCCTTGTCATCTCCTCGCTGCTTCTCTTCTTCAATGGCGGCTGCTGGCGACCAATCACACTCAGCATCTTCCCCCCAGTCTCTTGAAAAGCAATTTGAAGACTTTCGGCTTCAGCTAGAGGAGTCGGGGAGCTTGCGTGAGCGAATTAGAGCGGTTGTTTCGGAAATTGAATCCACCACCAGGCTTATGTATGCTAGCCTTCTACTGGTTCATCAGTCTCGTCCGACTCCTGGTAGCCAAATGCGATGCTTTTGTTCATCCACCGATTTTCTATATTAACTTCTTGAACTCTCGGCTTCGATTTTTGTCTATTTGTACGAACGAGGCGAAAATGCCTTGCGTTTTTCTCTGTTAAGATAACTTCGTTTTGATCATGTCTTTTGCTTGATGTCAAATTTTGGCTTCCTTGTAGGTAATGTTAGATGCATGTTCTCTTCTCTATAATGTTTCGAACGGCAAAAAACCTAAATTATTGTTTTGCTTTAACTCTACGGGAGTTCCTAGGCAAGCAGACAATTCAACTCTGGGATTCTACTTTTCATCTGGCTTTCATGTAGAAAAATTGGGGGCGGTTGTGTTTCATTTATGCTTCGGGTTTCTAAAATTTAATCTCGGTGTCATGCGAGAGGTTGCTGAATAAATTGTAGGAAGTCGGTGATGTTCTTTATTACCTCAAACTCATTTCACTCTTTTCCATTTGAATAGAGCTTCTGGATAAAGCGAAGTCCTATGTCAATGTGTTGAAAGACCATTACAAGCAACTTGCTGAAGTTCTTGGAGAATGCCCTGGCCAGTACTATAGGTGATTAAAGTTTCAAGCAGATTTTTACATTTCATGAGCTTCTCTTGAAAATTTGTTCACAAGTGAATACTTTTTCCCCCACATAATATAGGTATCATGGTGATTGGAGGAGTGATACACAGACGGTAGTTTCACTGATTACTTTTATGCACTGGTTAGAAACAGGAAGCCTTCTTATGCATGCAGAAGCTGAGGAGAAACTAGGCTGTATGCCTCAATACTCTTTTGTCATTGCTTTATGATACGGTGATAAGCTTTTTCTATTTGCCATTATGGTGATAAACTTTTATCATTTCTAAGATTATAGCAGTAAACGAAGCAGGGCACAGACTGATGTCTTTAGCAAAACAAACTGTTGTAGCTTATATGCGGATTTTGGTTAAGGAAATATTATATTAAATACCTATAAATCGTACTGTTTTATAGTTTAATGCCAGGCCTGATGTAGATTTTCTTTATCATTCTGAGTTGAAATTTATGAGTTGAGAAATTGTGGTTTGGAACTGCCTTGGGACAAATTAAGGACCTATTTGGTTGCTAGAAAGGATGATGAGATTAATATTTTCCAGGCTGTCTAGTTTAAAGAGAATTTGGTGCTGAAAAATATTGATTTATGTTTATAATGTTCTTCTACTATAAGCTTTCTTGCTTGCTTCAAATTTTAACTATACTTAATTCCCTACTTGTTCAGAGTCATTATGAGATTTACAAGTGTCTGTTTCTTATCAAATTTGCAGTGAACAGTTCAGAGTTTGGTCTCGATGTTGAAGACTATCTAATAGGTGAGTGTACTAAGCACTATCTACTTTGTAGTATCCATTATTTTTATGAATATGATCTTCCTACAGTTCGAATCTGTCTTCCCTTTCATCTGTGTAGATTTTTTTTTTTTTTTTCGAGTAGTGATTACCACCAAAATGATTATGATCTGAACATGGGCGTAGTCATGGGCGTAGTCATGTGGTAATTTATCATAACTGTTCTAAGGAGTCATGAAAAAGGAGAAAAATAACCGAATATTTTGCTTTTAAGTTTAAACATTGGATTTACAGATTATGGATATACCCTAGTATTCACAGTTCTTGTTTATCATTGTGTTATAAAATCAACCAATCTCATGCAACCCCACATTCAACCCTCTGATTTTGGGGTGATGCACATAATCAAGGCTGTAGGTCAATGCTAGTGGGTTTTTCTTTTCATGATTCTGTAAAACCGTGAGATAATTTGCTATTCTATTAGGATTTTTATGTTGCTTATTTTGCTATATGCACTGATGTTGATGCATTTTTGTCATGCAGGTGTTTGTTTTATGTCCAATGAATTAGTAAGAACTGTTTCCCTCTAAACTTGATAATCTCTTACTTGTGCAAGACAGATAAACTTGTTTGTTCATAGACATAGAAGATCTTGAAATTATTGGTTATTTTAAGAAAGAGACTTAGCACAAGGTAATTATTCTCACACCCCATTTTGCAACTATCTGACCTTGCAGCCAAGGTATGTGGTGAATCAAGTGACAGCTGGGGAGTATGATTGTCCTAGGAAAGTCCTAAAGTTCTTAACAGAACTCCATGCTGCATTTCGTATGCTTAATCTTCGGAATGATTTTCTGAGGAAGAAATTTGATGGTATGTTGTAACTTCAGACCCTATCATATGGATTGCTCCCTTGTACGTAGTCATCTGTTTGAATCCAAATGAACCCACGTTGGCAGGCATGAAGTATGATCTGAGAAGAGTTGAAGAGGTTTACTATGATGTCAAAATTCGGGGTTTGGCGCCCAACGGTGAGCCAGTCGAAGATCAAGGCGTTCAAGGGCAACCTTAGGCTGTGAAGGTTGACTTGAGGGTACTCGTACTTCTGAGATATTGTCCGCTACTTTGCACCATCAAAGACGCATGTATTTGTGTTCCTAATAGTCGGTGGAAGGAAGGAAAGATAATTTCTTCCAACTCTCCCTTGAGCCGACAATGTCAGGCGAGATCCTAGATACCAGCGTTTCAGCAAGATGTAGATGCGGAATACATTGAGTGTGCGAGCGTTATATCCAGTGTCAACGTTCTTTTTATAAGTCATGTTAACCTTTATGTTTAGCTGAAAAAGTCCGCCGCCCGACTCTAGTTGTAAGCATTGCTGAGTTGTGAGAGGGGATGATATTACTGACAGTCCAAGTGTAGGAGTGTGCTAAACAGTGGCATCATTGAGTAGCTGGTGAGCAAAGTTTCTTGCTGATTCATATCTAACGTTTCTGATAACGGCAATTCAATGGCGGTAAAATGATTTTCAACAATAGGAAGAAGTATTGTTTAGGAAAAAAAAAATTGAATACTATTTTTAAGAATTCATGAATGGATATGCTTAGAAATGTGCTTTCATTATATGGGTTATGGCTGCGCCGGATCTACTCCCCTCCGCAGACCGCAAGTTTGAGAGGGTTTATAGGCCCAAAAAAGCCCATGTGCCCATGTTTATGTAACCATTGGCCCATGAGTTATGCTTAATTTTTTTTTCTTCGTGCTCCGAGAAATCGTGTCGATGTGCAAGTAATCGTATAGAGATTTGAAACGCCTGCGTAATTTGAAAGTCTAAAATCAACAGCAATCAAGTAGTTGTGTCTTTTGTGAAAGGAAAAAGCAGCACACGCCACGCACGTTTCAGAATTCAGATGTGGTCACGCGTATAATTGGTCGTGTTTATGAACTCAGGCTTTGTATATTATAATTTCTCCAAAATTTATGAACATAGTTTCGGAGGTTCGCAGAGTAGTCTGACGAAACAGATTCCCAGAGGAGAGAACGACAGAGTATGCCTCTTATTAGGAAGCATGAAAATGATATGATAGGAGGCATGTGAGCCAGCTCATGAGAGCACGGGATTACACGTGCAAGGGATGCTCGTTGCTAAGCCAGTCAAATCAAATAATTTTTGGAGGATATCTAAGCTATTTAGTTGTTTGTTTCAACTTTCAAGTTCAAATTATGAAACAACGTACAACTTTATGGGCCAAGCCTCACGTTCTTCACATCCCTTGCTTGCCTTACCCTTCTGTTCCCTCACCTCACTGATCAATGATTATCAGCCTCATCGCTTCTCCTTCTACAAAATTGGCTTGTGAAGCCTCCTTGACTCTATTATATTATAACTCAGCACAAGATACACAAGTAAATGTCATTCTTTCTCCAATGAAAACAGCCAATTTTTTCCTCAACAGCTGATTGCCACTTTCAATAGAATTTGTTGAATCAATCTTCCCTGACAGTCAAATTTTGACATTGAGCTGAATAGGATCCATGACAAGTCGGTTGCATTTGCCTCTATGAAATGCAATAAAATGATGCTTCAAAGTTCAAATGGTGAATGATTTGACAACATCCACTGAAAGGATTGTCAAACTGGACCAGGCACAACACACCTTTGTCTTAAAGGAGTTGTATCACCGTTCTGGCTTCCTTGTTATCTCTGCCCATCACTGCGTAAGATACACGAAGCAGAAAAAAGGAAGCCCGAAAACTCATCTTCAACTATTCCAAATAAAAATGCTGAATATTTTCCAGCCAATTTCACCAAAAGAATAAAGGAGTAAATTTTCATTCCCTCACTAGTCACTGTTTTCTAGATACACAGGATACCTTCTTCTGGACTTTCAAGACCAAAACAAAGGGATAATCTACTTTTGCTCTGGTTATTTCTTTTTTTATATAACCGATATATCAGACCTACTCCTCAACAATTTTTACTGAATAATATTGACAATTGAGAGTGGAACCATTGAATGTCATGGTTGATGAGATTCCGAAGGTCAGTCAAGTTTCATCAAATCTGTCTCAGAAATCTCATCGTGGTCAAAATTTTCGTATTGAAACATTCTGTGCAACCCGTGATATTTTGCAATGGATATTTAGCCCATTTCCTGCATACCTGAGTGAGATGCAGAGAACAGTAAAACTTATCCCTAATCCATTCAAACTTCAAACAATATATCGTTTAGAAGACTGAATAAGATATACTTTCGTACGGACGGTGCACTCTCAGTCCCGCTCAAACAAAATAATGCTTTAATCGACAACTTGATATTGTTCAAGATCAGAAATGAGCTGACACCAATCACTTGACTTTTATACTTGCCAAGAAGATGTGCTTAATTATTCATAAATCACAAACCATGAACCACTTCCCCAAGAGACCCATTTTTCCGGCACTAAAGCTAGTAAGCTATACTCTTACCGACGTTCCGCTCTTAATTAGCAGTCCGAAATGTTCAAGAATTACGACTCAAAATATTTGAAGCCCTTTCAAAAATAGCTGATATATCTTGCGACATCCATCCCCATATATTAGAAAAAGGTGGGATCGCACTTTACCCAAGAAACCTATCCCATCCCTATATCTTATCTTTTCCTTTCCAACTTGCAGGGTCTTGACTTTGAAAACTTCGAAAGATCTGTGATCGAGCACTTCCCTTTCAGAATTACAGAGAAACGGGGTCCTTATTTCCTAGGAGAGATGTTAGCTGATTATAAAATGTATCTAAAGCCATTGCATGCATGTTCCTTCAGTTTCTGAGATGCTCTAAACTGGCAAAGTAACGAGTAAAGTCAGCAACCATCTACAAGGGTATAGTAATTGAATTATTACCATAAGCTCCCAATGATGTCAACCATTTATTGCTCCAATGCAGTGGCTCTTCTCACGCCACAATTATATAAACCTTTTCGTTTCCGTGATACTCACTGCACCTTCTATCTCCTCCTTCCTCTCTCTTTCAGCAGACACCTGAAAAGTGAACTATGAAGGGCAGATTTCTGAAGGAGTACCTTAACAAGTGGAAGAAGGTGGGGACATGCGTCAAACCTTACACTGCCTGTGAGTACTCCGGCCAATGGGCTTCCATGCATGAAAACAGCTCCATCCCAAGTGACGTCCCAAAGGGTCATTTGGTTGTCTATGTTGGGAAGAACCACAAGAGGTTTGTAATAAAGATCGCACTACTTAATCATCCCCTCTTCAAGGCATTGCTGGATCAAGCTCAGGAAGAATATGGTTTTAGTGCAGATTCAAAACTTTGCATCCCTTGTGAAGAGCATCTTTTCCTCAGTGTCCTTTGCTGCGCCAGCTCTCCACAGCACGAACAGATGTGTTTGTGCCTTTGAGAAATCAATACCCGTCAAGACTTTTGTTCAAACAGTTAGAGGTCTAACCAGAACATTGATATGATATCCGATGTAACTGAAATATCCAATATGTTGTAAGTAGACTAATTAAGGCATAATTGTCTTCTAGATCACTGATGTAAATCTATTCACGAACATGGAGGATTCCATTCTGTTTATGTTGCTCTTAGTTGCAAGATGTAAAGGTTGCACCTTTCAGCAAAGTAATGCCAGCTCTACAATAACTAGATTATGACTCATCTAAACATGCTCAAGGTTGTTTGACCAAAACCTGAAGGCATGGAAAAACTCGATGAATGGGGAAAATGCATTGGGCCAATGAATTTTCAATAACGAGGTCAAAAAAAAGGGCAGCCAAACTGTACTTTTAAGTCTCTTTGATCTGAGAACCTGGTTGTGCGGGAAAAGGGCATATGATTTGAGTCAATTGAGAAAGCTCAGACGAAATTCCAAATGCTAATGACCCGTGCACTTGTTCCGGGATCTTTTGGTCATCAGAAAAAAGATTTGCGCCGCAGCTGGGAAGGAAAGAAAAACAGAACAACGATGCAGATTTTCCAAGAGCCAGAAGTTGATGCCATAATGGGAAAGCCAGTTTTCGACCAGACAAAACTCTCAACTCAGGCAAAATACTGTAATATTTTTAGGTTCATGTCTATTGAATCATTCGCTCATGGGTTTTCTTTTTATTTTTGGTCAATGAAAACTGTTACATTAGTGTTACTTTGTTTCTCGACATTTGCCTCAAGAAGCAACTATGCATTGCGAATCATGTTTCCAAGTAAAACAGAAATATTATTATTATATAGTCAAAATCTGCGTCGGGTACGAAAGAAACATATGCAATACCAGAAAATCTCACTTAATTTCTTTCTTTCTTTGTTTTTTTTTTTTGGGGGGGGGGGGTTAGGGGCAATTGCGTTCTATCTGCTGCTTGGAGAGGACGATATCTTGATCATTTTTAACAAACATCACAGGCATGAGCATGAATAGAACCAAAAGTAGCCAAGAGCAATAGCAAGAGCCAATGCTGAAGGTGCAGTGGTTTCTGATTTTTAGTCATGGAATTGGAGAAGAATTTTTAAAATTAAAAGTGCAGATGCAGCGACAATGACATGCAGAAAATGGCATGAAAAGCTGAGGCGAGGTTGATGATGAGGGGTGCTTTGGGGCAACAGGAAATATCTCAAACTGAATTCATATCTGCAGAGCATCTGTGGTAGGATGTGGCAGCCATGCTGCAAGAATTAAAAAGAAAGAAATGGCCGCAAGAAGGCCATACGTGATAAGAAGAGGACCACCTTCCTTTACACTTTAGTTCAGCTCCGATCCTCTCTGCACTTCTCAATTTTCTCACTCGAACTCGCGAAACTCTATACCCTGCATGTCATCTATCTACATTAAATGTATATGATAAATTATATTTTCGATCCCTTGAGTTTTAGTTTCCAACAGGTTTGATCCAAATATTTTTTTTTAAAAAAAATTGAGTCATTTAATCAGTTTCTTTTTTTTTCCCAAACTTGATTTAGCTTTTTCCCCTTTACTTGAAATCGAAAAGAACTGAACTGCACAGGTGAAAAAAGATAACGTTTTTATCAAAGTAGAAAAACCAAAAAGAAAAAAATAAACTCTTCTGCTCGGTAGTTCCTTGACAGATTTATATCCAAAATGGATAAGAGCTCATCACTTCCACCCATTTCCAATATGACCCATTGATTTTTCCCCCTTTTTTCTTTTTGTTGGAAGAGGAAGTTCCACGTCCATAAGATGGGGGCAAAACCCGAATGAATAAATACGGAAGCTACCAGATCCATGAAACTTTTCCCTTCGCTGGAAGGTATAAACTACAAAGTATAAACAACAGACCACATAAACGGGATTACCTACTTCGGCCTAAAAAGGAATTACCATTAACTTAAGAACCAGTGAAACATCTGAAGATCCTAATGATACTGTGATGGAGAGGCCCCCGTGTTCCACCGCTAGATTTAGAGTTTTCGTGACAGGGAAAAATAGGATCTTATATGCATCATATGTATACTCCTTCTGTTCCTATATATAAAAAATCTTCTAGAATTTTTTTGTGTCCCTGAATATAAAGAGTTGTTAGCATTTTTAATGAATGGACCATTATATTCTTATTAAATTAAAAAGAGAAAAAAAGTACTCTTATTAATTTATTTTGAAAAAAAAAATTTAATTTTTATTTATAATAATTAAGGATAAAATTAAAATATTGTTATACTTTTAATTAGATAATCAACTTTTATCAATTTGTGTAATTTAATTAAAAACATTTTATATATAGATACTGAGGCAGGGGGAGTATGAATGTAGATATAGATTCTCCTAGCAAATTCTTGGAATCCCCCTATATGATGCCGACGTGTCCCACTCCCTGCCTGCATATTTCCCAAGTGGTTTTCCAGTTCTTAGCGCTCAGTTCATCATGTTCAGGGATCCCACGCACCACTTGTACATATTTCTTTCCTATGGAATTGCTAGGAATCCAACCAGCCTGTTCTAATAAAGAGATTCCTATTAACTAGCATAATTTCTTTGAGAAATGCACGGATCCCAAATCCATAATATCATCCCCAATTCCATTTAGATTCCCAAGCTCAATACCTGCCTCTGTTCTGGCCAAAGGAGTTATTCCATTCAACAGCCAAATTCCTATCCACTTGATTGCAATCGCGCTGCATCCGCAAACTCTGTCAATATGCAACTTACTCCGTTTCCCCTTTCAGGAGACAGCGGGATAAACTAACATGTTTTCCCCCCTTTTAAACAACACATACCATCAACATATCAACAAAATAAAGTATTTATATATTACCAATATCATCAGTGTCATATAAAATCCTTGACGAGTAAAGTCTTTACAATCTATCATCAGCGTAGCTTATTCAATAGACTTCGTACAATGCAAGAGAACCTAACTAATTACCAAATAAATTGCCAAATACAAAATTAGACTTGAGCTCAGACCGCTGGAAATTTGTCTGGTAAAATTAAACTCATAACTCATCAACAGCAAATAGCAACAATTGAAATGGCGCCTCTGATATGGCACTATCGCTATTGCCATCCATCCTAATTCCAAGTCCTTGCGGAATGCAAAATAAATTCTATGAAATTGCCGCAGGGAAAGTATAAGCAAACAACAATAGCACCCCATAAGCAAAATCGTATGCAAAAGATGCTGAAAACCAGGAAAGACAAAAGTATGGTTGTTTTCTTAAAGATATTCAGGACTGAAATAATAGTTTTCCTCCTTCTAGCAGATTAATTTACTTCTACCGTTGTTAGTGTAAACCAAATATCCCGACTCATGCGATAAATTGTCAAAACAAAACAGCAAAAAGAAAACCATGGTTAATGTGGTCATGACAATACGCCACCCTCCTTCATTGAGAAAAATGAATACCATCCTCTACTTCTCATCATATAGTGTGGCTAACTACTATCATCACCAACTTTTTGTTCTGCTAATAAGTGACCGCATGAACAATTTACAAATGAACTATCCTCATTCAGAATATACACAAGTAGTATATTTGCCTCCTGTGAAATACATACAACACATAATTGGTCATAAAACTACAAAATGGAAGTGATGGTCAACAGGGACTACAAAAGTGGGACACATAAAGCTGTGGAACATTGCTGCAAAATAAGCATTACAATTGATGAGTTCCAAGTATCATCTACGACCTTCAATCAAGCCCTCAAGTTCTCTCTGCCCAAACCTCCTACCCTGTAAATCGGCATCCCTACACCTGGCCGCAAAGTAAAACAGCAGCCAGGCAACCATGAAGTAAACTTCCATTGTTGACTGGAACATCTTAGCAAAAGACCTCCCACAAATTCGAGCTAAAACCCATCTCACAAACGATCCACAACATATTGCTTCCAAGCATTTTATTTTTATGCCTTGGTTCAACATTGTAGATATCAAATAACAACCTTCCTTCACGATTTCTCTCCCACTCCTCCTAGAGTCCACTATGGCAACCCAGGCATCAACAGAAAATATAAAAGCGACAAACGTATCAACAAAAAACCAAGCAAGCAAGAATCCAGAAATCTGCTTCTCAAACCCTCGAACCCATGGGGACATGACTGAGAATGGCATTAATTTCAATCTAACGAAAAGCTTGAAGAAAGAATACTGATCTTCGATATCACCGAAATACCACAGCCCCAGAAGCTGAGTCAACGCGTCCCTCACCGCCCACCTCATCAGAATAAACCCTGAAAGCCTCTTAAGACCCAATCTGGAACCATCCCAAATTACCGCAGCGATGGAACTATACCTCCCTAACAGATCCTTGACCACAGTAATGAAGACGATGCCTAAGACCCATGAATAAGTAACAAGAAAAACTAAAATCACCCATCCGTAGGCCGCAGATAAGAAACTGATGAGGAAAAACAGAGTCGCAGCATCACGGCGGCCGAGCTCCAATCCCTTCATAAAGAAACGCAAATCAATGGCTTTATCCACATCTTGACCATTTCCCAAATCAACCTTTTCATTTCCGCTATCGTTCTCGTCCTCGCTGTCTTTATCATCAGTAAATGATAACCCTTCCGCCTTGAATGTAACTCCAGAGCGAACCACTTCCGACACCCTAATTCCATTATCAGTTACATGATCCGAGAACACTGACTTCAAGCCAAACGCGCCCAACACCACAAAAGTACCATTTTCAGGGGCGCTCCTGTTGGGCCCGAACAAACTACGACCATCGTCGTCATCGCCGGAGAAAAAGTCATCGTCTAGGGTTCCAACTCGGGTGAGGTGTAGGAAGGGGCGGCGGCGTTGGCGGCGCAAACCCTTAGACGAAGGATCATCGGGCGATCGGTGGCGTTGCTGGTTACTGTTTCCGGCGAGGTCAAGGCGTGAAAGAAGGGCTTTGAGGGAGGGGTCACGATCAATGAAAGAGGTAACATAAGTAGTACCGTTCTCAACGAAGGTGCGGAAGGACAAGATAAGGAGAGAAAGGAAGAGGAAGGTAAGGAGATTGGAGGTAAAAGAAGAGGCTGATTGTCGGAGAAGTTGGGCAGTTGTACGCAGATTCTGCAGCCGAGGATGATCGTTCATGGCGGTTCAGCGATCTCTGAAGGAGTTGCCTTCTCTTTCGCCTTCTTTTTGGTGTTTCTGACCACAAAGCGGCTTCCTCGTCGGTGCCAGGAGGCGAGATGGCTATGCCCCTCAGGACTTCCGGGTAGGGATGAAAGCAGAACACGCGCAATCAGGCTGTGGACCGCACGCTCTCGGAATTTGGTGGTGGGCGAACGAAAAAAGAATTTTTAGCCCGCATCCAATTCCTCGTTCGAAATATTTATATCATACTATCGTTTATAATTTTTCAATACGAATATAAAATAATTACATAAATATTAATAATTTACTTTCATAAATAAAATTCTTACATTTCTCTCCGTTGTCAATTTCGTGGCCAACCATTTCTCTCTGTTGTCTAAAACAATTTTTAATGATGTGCAATAATAATTATCGTCTGTATAAATTGTAAAAGTATAAATATTATTATGTTTAAGTTTAATTGAAAAATTAAGTAAATAATCGCAATACCTTTCTTAATCAGGTTCGTTTCTCTGGCCAAAAAAATAAAAGCAGGTTCATTACTATCCTATTTTTTTAAGAGGGGTGGGGGAGTGGGGGAAGCCAAGTTCATTACTTATAATAATTTACATCTCGAATGGCTTTTTTAAGGGGGGGGGGGGGGGCGAAGCCAAGTTCATTACTTATAATAATTTACATCTCGAATGGCAATTGATTCACTCCCACTTTTTAAGGGGAAAAAAATCACATTAAATCAGCAAAATAACGATGCTATTAATATTAATTAATTAAAATGCTTCAGGTAGATATCTCAACACGGAAACAAGCTTTTTATTTGAACAAAAACACGGGAAAGGCCGTAAATAAAAATAAGGAGACCTTTTGCGCCATTTTGTGCCTTAGTAATTCCTGGTGTTTTTTGTTCGCTGGGCTCGCATGGTTTAGAAAGGTCCATGCTCATAGCCAAACCCAGAGTTTGTGTGTCCACGTGGGTGTCGGGGAGAGTTTTTTTTTTTTTTTTTTGAGGGAGGAGGGGATTCTTGTAAAGCTAATAGGCTTTGAGTGGTCCTTGAATTAATATTCCTTTTGATTTAGAAAGAAAAAAGAAAAGAAATAACCCATATGGCAGCCACATGGTGGATTGTTTCCCTCAAAAGCGAAGCAAAGCAAAGCAACGGTACTTGGGAACAGACAAATTAGTAAAACAAGTCAAAGACGAAAACATGCTCTTGCTAGATTTAAATTATGCAGGGGGAGCTATTTTCGTATTCCAGTTATTGCCTCCGTTCTCAGCAACTTCTTTTGAGTATTTTCACCAGCCGGAATTACAACAATATATCCCCAATGCCCCGGTCATTACAAAGACCGGCAAGTAATTAGATAAGTACGATTGGATGAGAATCAAAATGACACAAACGACACTTTAACAACCAAAATTTCTCAAGGACGTCCAAGTTCGGGGAAACTACATTCATTGAAAATCAGGCTTCTCCGGGTAGGTGCAGCCTGACCTTTGGATGATAACATTTGCTGCATAACAGCCAGCCCTCACGCATTCTTCAATGGGCTTTCCCAGAACCAGCTGTGAAAGAAACCCTCCAACAAATGCATCACCTACGACCACAAAGAAAGGTGGACTTCAACATAATTTCACTAGCATGTTCGGCGGACAAAATTCGCATCTCAGTGATTGAGCTGATGACTGCTAGAGCAAAGAGCTAGACTTCTACAGATTTTTAAAAGGCTCAAACCCCATAGCCCAACGAATTTCTTTCCCAACAAAAGTCTAAACCTTAGCCCCCAATCAGTTTTATTCAGTCATAAATACACACTTAGATTCACTTGGTTGCATGATATAATATACGTGAAGTAATATACATGACCGATAATTATAGATTCCACAATATTATGAACCTATATCTTACCGTGAAAAAGGAATTTTATATTCAAGAATTTAAGCACATAACCATATATAAGACTTTGTTCTGCAGTACGACTCCCATAAGCAACGAGACAATTACCTGCTCCATTTGTATCAACCAGTTTCTCTTTAGGTAACGGTGTCACAGGAAACAAGTTCACCTTGCCATCCTCCTCAGCAACGCACACAGGATCTGCACCCTGTGTGATAACAGTAATTCTTTTATGCTTTCCGGATGCCTTTGGCCATTGGGAGATCTTAACAGCTATCTCCTCCACCTTGTCAGTCTATTCATCAGGAGAACGTAAATCGGTCAGCATTTAAACCCCAAAAGGGCATTTCAACATATTTGCTAAGTTATGATTACCTCCCAACCATGGACTTTAGCAAAAGTTCTAGCTTCGGTCTCATTTCCAAAAACGAAGTCCACATACCTGAATCCCAGAAAGGACACTCATTAGATAGATATGTAATTTTTTTTTTCCATTCAAATTTAACAGACAAAGATCCTTACTGCAGAGCCTTTTCCTGCACATCTCTGAAGAACTCACAGATGAATGGGGCAGAAAGGTTCATCAAGAAGAACTGCATGCCAATTTAGAATAGAAACATGTCAGAAACTGCTAGTGAATGGGAAATAGGGATTGCCAATTTTAAATCACATCTTACCTTGTTATTTGCTGCCGCATGCTCAGCAACCAATTGAATGGATTCTGGTGATACAGTAAGGAAAAAGCCAGCTATATAGATATACTTGGCCTTTTCAACTGTTTAAGAAAACATTGCACAATGCGATCTCAGTCATAGGGAATCAAGGGGAGGGAAAACAATAATACAGGGACTGCATAGACCAAAAGGGTACCTAAAGCCCAGTTTTCTGGTTTCTTCAAATGATCAGACTTGTAGCAATTTGCAGCTGATAAATTGGCAACAAGAGACCTGTATTTCCATTTAAACAAGCATTTTAAAATGGAAAGATATTTAGGTAAATCCCAAAAGGCTTTGACTATAGTTTGCGTCAACTAAACATCAAGATGAAGATGTACACTTCGAAAGCAGCATGAATGATATGTATTTAAAAAAAAATTTGAAGGGCTGCTCATTCATCTGACCTTTCACCACCAATTACACAAACAGCACAAGTGCCAGTGGGTGCAGTTTCATCTTCATAGTAGTGGACCTGATAGTCAAGTGAATAGAGTTAGTTCAAAATGCAAAGAGTCCAGGGAATAGTTTAGATTCAGAGGAGACGATTTGAAGAAAGAAAAACTAAAACTCACATTTACACCAGCTTGCTTTGAGTTCTTCTTCATCTCCTCCCCAAACTTGTCCTTTCCTATGGCACCCATGTAACTTGTTGCACCAGGTATTTGAAGCATCCACTATAAAACAAAATGGAAAATAGTAAATTACTTTGACCGTAACTTTTCCAGTATCATGTTGCCACCTACGAAAGGCTATATACCTGTGCAACTCTGATAGAATTCTGAGTAGCACCTGCCAACAAGTAAAGAAACTATTATTATGCAATGTGCACTTTATTGCCCAGAACTTCATCAATAACATGAGAAGAAAATCAATTATCTAAAATCCAATATTTCTGACTAAACGAATCACCTCCGGCAATATACTCCACGTTATACTTTGTTGCCAATTCTTCGTACCTGAGATGATTGGATGATCATATTAGCTCTTAAAAAACTATCATGATAAAAGAGAAATCAGTAGGGGCTGGGAAGAGGAGAGATATCGAAAATTGAAGCTTGCTGGATGTTGGTTTCAATCGTAATTGATTCCAAGCAATGAGCAATATCAAGAAGCTTGTAAAGTTGAAACTACTGTGGTCGTAAAGTTGAAACAACTGTGGTCTAAGCATAGCAAGGTATCTCTTACATAGGTTTGTGCTTTTCCTCCGCAAGAATTGCATCGTTCAACTTGATGCCGTATCTGTCACATAAATGAGGTCAGATCACTAAGAACAGCGAGAATTTGCAAGAGCTTTCTTGAATTTTTCTTCTCTAATTTCAGAATGCTGTTAGAGATACAGAAATAAATAAATTCAAAGCAGAACCGAACAGAGATGACTTCTCAAAATAACAACACAAGCCCATAGCTATCCTAGAAAGTATCCTAGTATTTCCGAAACCGAACTAAACACCTCCAAATAATCTCGATAAACGTTGGAAAACAAAATGATGACTTCCCACTTTTCTTCAATACATGCGGGATCGTCAAACTACAAGCCCTTGGTGTATGCTGCAAAGGCTCATTGTTCAGCATTATAGAGAGATGTGGAACCAATCAGTAAAACTAAAAATCTTCAAAAAGAGAACAAGTTAGCAACATATGCAGACGATGCGTAATCATGCCAATATATAGCTCAACAAAGACGCGCAGAATGAGGCAGAGAAGAAGATAGATCCGCCACCGTGAAATTCAGCAAGGCAAATCAACCAAGCTAAAAACCATCAGTTTGTAATGGATTCAAAAACATATCAACAAGTAAACTAGATCTTTGAATAGATATCTGGAATAGAGATTACGGTCCAGAAACGAAGCAAGAAAATAAGGACCGAGGAAACTTACTTTTGCAAAAACTCGTCATCGACAACGGCCGAGATATCGAGGAGAGGGTTGCCCATCCCGAGGAGGATACCTTCGGATGCCATTTGAGGAAGGGGAGATCACAGAAGAGAGGGCGGCGCAGGTTTGGCAATTGGCAAAGTGATATAATCAGCGGTAGAGAAGAGTGTGAGCGAGATTCAGATCCGCCGACGACGAAGCAGATGCCTATTTTATAGGGAGATGGTACAAACCAAAAGGTCAGGCCAGAAGATTTTAAAAATATTAATTTGTCCAAATAATCAAATTGATGTAATTACTGTTCTGACTTTCTGAGTTACTCCAAAATTTTAAAACCCTCAGAATCATTACAATTAATTAGTATAAAATACTAAAATTTATTCAATTATCAGAGTTTGTTGAGACTTTTACTGGGGCGTTTAAATGGTTATGGCGCCCCCAAAAAAAAAAAATCTGATTGGAGATTGGCCAAAAACAATGCTGTGAGTGGACAACGGAGTGAAATGGGACCCCCTCACTTTACCTTACCAACCCCTAGAGGGCCCATCGCTGATGGTGTATGGCGCACCTTCCCCGGTTTTGGTCACCAATCCGCCATTTTCTCTGGGAGTGCGCTTTACGACCCTTCATTTGTTGGCAAACGTTTTTGCTCTCTCCCCACCTTCTGATTAATATTTTAAGCTTTTTTTTTTTGTTTAAGAAAAACACATAATGATTGATCCATACTCCCTCCATTCCTATATATATGTATTAAAAAAATATTTTAAATTTTTGTATTCCTAAATATAAAAAGTTATTGGTATACTACTCCATTTTTATTTATAAAAAAAATATCACTTTTTACTTATTTTTTATATAAGTAAAATCAGAAATTTCAATAAGTATTTATTACATATTTTTTAAATCACCTCTCGTAATTTACATTAATAAAAAATAATTAATGTACGTTTATGTTGATTAATATAAGATATTTTAGTCTAATTTTTTTATTTTTAGACATAATTATTATGATTAATTAACTTTTTAAAACTATGTGATATAGTTTTTTTTCTTATATATAAGAATAAAGGAAGAATTTTTAATGAATAGATCATTATACTCTTATTAAATTGAAAAGAGAAAAAGATAAGTATTTTCATTAATTTACATTTTTAAAAAGAGATTTATTTTTTATTTACAATAAAAAAATAATCAACTTTTATTAGTTTACATAATATGATTAAAAATATTTTATATATAGAGATGGAGAGGGTATTATTTTAAAAAATTTTATTATAGGTCTTCATAGTTTTTTTTTATTTGTTTTAACCACAAAAAATACAAAAACCTATATCAAATCACATCAAAATTATTAGACTAATTATGTTTTTCCTATCTTTTATTACTGCATATAGTCCATCAGACCCAAAATAATTGTACGAAGAAAATTCCAAATTTTCCTCCTATCATGTACTGATATACTTTCTCTATTAAAAAATATAAAATATTTTTAATCTTTTGAGGTGTAATTATTGTATTTTTTATAAAAAACTCCTATTAATAATGACTTTATATTTTTTATAGAGTGTTTAATAGGAGTAAATATGAAAATATAAAGTTAGTTTGAAAATAGGTAATTATTTTATTGGTGAGATAGATTCAGTTAAAAATGCCTTACATTTTTTAATGGAGAGAGTATTTACGTTTTATTAAAATGTAGAAAAACACACAAAATAGGAAATAAAATAAAGAAAAAATTAATCTTTTAGTCTTCCAACTTTTAAATCACTTGTAACTCAATCCATCAATTATGATTCGCTGTGACTCAGTCCCTTAACTATGACTTGCTTATGACTCAATCTCTCAACTTTTGAATCACTTACAAATTAATCCCTTAACTTTTGTAAATTTTTTTCATGTTAGTTTATATCTTACATCAATGAGCAAGATGAGGATATTTTAAAATAATATATGAGTATTTTTTATCCCTCTTATTTGATAAAAAATTAAAAAAATTAAAAAATAAGGACCAAGTTATAGGTGAATCAAAAGTTGAGAGACTGAATTGCAACGAGTTATAGTATAAGAACTGAGTTACAGCGAGTCATAGTAGAAGAACTGAGTCGCAGCGAGTTAAAAATTAAAGGATTAAAAGATTAATTTTTTTAAAATAAATATCCATGCTGATTTTTCAGTTTTTATTTTCAATTATGCATTTCTTATTCAAAATTCTTCATCTATCTCCAGTAATAAAAATAATAGGTAGGTTTTAGACATTTGGAAAACACAATGGTTTGCTAATTACTTGATCCATTTAAAAAGATAAAGTATTTTTAACTAAATTTCAGTCTTAATTAATTAGTTATCTTCAAACTAACACCATCGTTTTATATTTATTTTTTTAATAAGGTGTTTCACTTAAAAATAAATACAAAGTAATTTATTTATTAAAGGCATTTGAAAAAAATACATCAATTGTACATTGAAATACAAAATGCCTTATATTTGTTTAATATCTAACCTCTTAAAAATTATTTACATATTTTGACTAAGGTTTAAAAATGTAAGGTATTTTTCATCAAATTTCACCCTCAATAAAATAGTTACTTATTTTTAAACAAACTTTATCTTTTCATATTTATATAAGCTTCATCCTAAAAAAAATAAAGTCATCTATTTAATAAAAATATTTTTTAAAAAAATATAATAATTATATTTTAAAAATTAAAAATATTTTATATTTTTAAAATTTAATTATTTAAAAAATATTTTATATTTTAAAATAAAGGAAGTAATAGTTTTATCTTTCACATTTAAAGTTAGGCATCATCTTTTTAGGCCCCGTTTGGTTGGGGGGGAGGAGGGGAGGGGAGGGGCTCCTCTTCCCTCCCCTCATTTGGTTAGGAGGAGGGGAGCCCCTCCCCTCCCCTCCCCTCATTTGGTTAGGAGGAGGGGAGGGGAGGGGAAATTTTTAAAATTTTCCCTCCCCTCCCTTCCAAAGCCTCCCCTTCAAATTGGGGGGGAGCTCCCCTCCCCTCCCTTCCCCCTCCTCTCCCTCCCCTTCCCTTCCCTCCTCTCCCCTCACCTCACCTCCCCTCCCTTTCCCTTTCTTCCCCTTGAACCAAACAGACCCTTAGAGCCGCAATTATGTTCATGAGAATTGGAGTTTGCCCCTTGGGAGCTGCAATAAGCTGTCGTGGGATTGAACGACTGAGCATGGCTTTGTTCAAAGAGAGGAAAATGTGGACGTTGACTACTTTGCCAAGCGTGCATTGGCGCCACCTTTTGGCCTTCATTTTTTACCTGGAGACGATTTTTGTTGTTCACCTTCCACTCAATAAAGTAGAAAGTTTTGTTCAGTTTTATCTATTTACCAAAAAAGAAAAAGAGTTATTATCAAATTCTAGCCATTAGCAGATTTTTATTTTTTTCTTTGAAAATAAGTCAATATATATTAAATATCAAACAATTACAAACACACACAAAAAAGGCTTTTAGAAATCCTAGCAGAAAAGTCTGAGTTACATAAGAAAATAAACTGGACGCTAAACAAAGAAAGAACCCAAACTACAAAAACACACCAGATTGGAAACAAACTGAACAAAGAAAAAGAGTCTTCGGATCATCCTTGCCAGATGTGTGAACACGTAGATCATTAAGGAGATAAAATTTAAGAAAGCTTGCCCAAAGGAAATAAGTAACCAATTCAAAGATTAGCCTATCCGACAGTTTGAAAAGCTTCGCAAGCCAAAAAAATGAATGATTTCCTAAGAAAGAGGAAATCAAAATGTTTTAGAAAGATCTCATAGGATTTGTATATCCTAAGCCAAGAGAGCTTTGTTGTTGCTTGAAAATTATAAAATCATGACCCAAGAGACATCTAACCAATGTATAAAAGGCACACAAAGTGAAAATTTTAATAAAGAGCCATTGATCATACTCAATTGTTTTAATTATATTTAAAGTCTCTATATTTTTGAAATTTCATTTTAGTTCAAGAGCATTGATTTGATATTAAATTTTTAAAAAATGATAAAATTGTTTTTTATTTAAATTAATATTAGGACTGTCCTACTTCACTTGTTTATTTTTTTGGAATGAAATTAACTGAAAGTCTGGTAATGAACAAGTGAAGTAAAGTGATAAACAAGTGAAATACGATAATAGATAAAGGTGCATTTTTACCCTTCAAGTATTTTTTGAGGAGCACCCAACACTCTAACATTTTTGTTGAAGCAATTTTGTCTTTAAAGTTATCAAAACGAAGCATTTTTGCCCTTTCCGTCAAATTTTCCACCAATCAATGTTGGAATTTTAACAAAAATGGAAAAAATTCTTCGTTTTGATAACTTTAAAGACAAAATTACTCTAACAAAAATGTTAAAGTGTTGGGTGCTCCTTGAAAAATACTTTAAAGAAAAAAATACACCTTAACCCTAAGACAATTAATAATTGTCTATAAGGAAATGAACAACATACAATATAAAAATTAACAAATTGTCTTAAGATTATTTAAACACCTAAAATGAAACAAGTTAAATAGGATAATTAACAACATTTCATAAGTAAGTAAACAAGTGAAGTGGAGCAATTAACAAGTAAAATAAGAAACTTTTGATATTAATTTAAAGGAGGGACAATTTTGTTATTTCTCTTAAAAATTTAATATCAAATTAGTAATCCTAAATTGCAGTGAAATTTTAAAAATTTAAAAGCTTAAAATGTAAATAAGTTTAGTAAAGGGTTCTGTATTAAAATTCTCCCAAACATTAACATGCAAGCGAAACTAAGACACGAAAGAAAAGTTCCAAAAGCTGCAATGACAAATGATAAACCTTCACGATTATGCTACAATCCATGAAGGTCCCTTTAGGAAACATTCGCCAAGACCTAGGTTTTTTGGCACGAAATTCATCAAACCTAAATATCAAAGCACGCTTTGTTTCATTCTTAGAAAACAAAGGAAAAAATCTCATTTACATAGCTAAGAAGCAGATAGCCTATTGAGAGACATAGAAGTAAGTGAAGTATAAAGGAACCTAAGGTCACTTAAAAAAGGAGTTATTAGGAAGCACAAAAGTGGGAGATGATGATTATGGTGACAATAAGGGTATGGAATGAATTGATTTTCTCTTGTTAAAAATAAATCCAAACTCAACAAGTCCAAGCTTATCAATAGTATACAGCCCAATACTAAAAGGAACAGGCCCAAGATTAGT